CTCTTAGGGGGTTGGAGGGTGAAAGCACTTCGCAAAGGGTCTTGGCAAAAAAATACAGCAACAACACCAAGAAGGAGAGAAAGAACAACAGAAGCGCGGATTCCGGAGGGGGCTCCAAGGGTATCGCCCAGGTGGCAGTCGGGCAGCCGCGGGCGGGGGGGGGTTGGGGCTCTCCAAGATGTAGCTAAAAAATTCGAGAGGTGGAGGGTGTAACTCGTGGTTTCAAGTACACGGTGCTTGAACACTTGAACACTTTTAATCGTCTTGGGGAAGGGAACCAATCGTTGAGCGGTGTGTGGTACAGGCGACAGTATGATGGTGTGTCTGTGCACCCGTCGGAACTATAATAGTAATGGCTCTCACGATGTGCTGCCCCGGCTCGTCGATGGTGATCTCCCCGCCCTTGGCCCCTCCCCAGCCCCCGCCACCGGCCTTCTGGTCCGCGCCGTCCTGCCTGGCGGCCTCCAGAAAGCGGCGGGTTAGGAAGTCACAGAGCGCCACCTTTCGGACCTGATTGGGTGTTCGGGGGGCGGAGGGGGGGGTCGAGTGGGAAGGGACGGGGGAGCGGAGAGGGATCGGGTAAAGGGGGAGCATGAAACCAATGTTGCCCTTGCTTTGGCCCAGATAGCGGCGGGATAGGTCGTTCGAAGACGTCATACACCCGGCCTATTTGTGTAGTAGTTTTGGTCCCGTGTTGATTTGCGAGGGAGGGCATGAGTCGGAAAGGATGCGCGCTAACCCATACGCTACGTTCAACACACGCCCTTTTTTGTCTGCTCTCCTCCTGCACGCATTCATGCACAAAAAAAAATATGCGTCCCAACCGTACACTATGAAAAACACACGCCCTTTTGTCCGCTCCCCCGCATACATACACGCACGCATGCACACCTTCGTCGAGAACGCCTACGCTAACGTACAGCACACGGCCTTTTTATTTGCTCTCCCGCATGCATGCATGGACGCATGCACGCATGCAGGCGCACCTTGAACGCCTACTCCACCTACAGCACACGCCCTTTCCATGATCTCTCCCGCATGCATGCATGGATGCATGCAGGAACGCGCACCTTGGTCGAGAAAGCCTCCGCTGGGAAGCCGGCCACCTTCCCGGGCACTACCACATGAAGACGGGACGGCGCGGCGAACGGGTCGGCCTGGATCTTGTCCACGCAGAGCATGAAGTCCGGCATACCCTGTCATCCCGTAAACATCGGACCGGGGGTGCGAATGGTTGTGCGGCGGATGTTTGCTGGCGGAGGGTTGTGTGCGGAGGGTTATTGGCGGATGGTTGTATGTAACGGACAAAAAAAACGCTAGCAGCAAGGACCAATTCGAGCCAGGCACGAGCCGAAACGGAATTTTGGGTGCGGGCAAGTTGGCGCAGGAGAAAATAGGGCTAAATGGGCCATGTGTAGACTTCGGGTGTAGTCATGCTGGGGGAAAACAAAAAACGTTTGGAACGTCGGACTATCATGCAAGTCGACTGGGTAAATGCTCCTAAGTAAATGGCGAAACACTAACGTGGGATTGTATAATAAAGTTGATTATACTACGGACAGCAAACTATGGATACGGGCGCACAGCTTGCGTTGGTACGGGCCTCACTCGAGGGTACCTAGCTTGAACAGATTGCAACCAAAACCGCCAGGACACACACTCCAACACAACCTGCGTTTCACGAAATTTTTCCGGAGCATACTCTGGGTGGTGACGGTACACATCTAGAGTATGTGGCCACGTGTATGATACACCGCCTGGACGGTCGTAACCGTATCCGTAAAAACGACCTGCACAAGAAACAAAACTTTCGTGTTTGCTTGCTTGTGTGCCCCAGACTGGTGCGACAAACGTACGGTAGGTGCAGATTAGCACCCAGAATAGATAGGACAGGACGAAAGCACGCACGCACAATTTTTAGAAGCGCTTTTTAGGTTTTCAGCCGCACCGGGACCGACGTCTTGCCATGTGTCAGCCAACGACTTGTGCGGTCGATGCAAACAACCACGCAAAAAAAGTGGAACAGGCTATCTCATCTCGGTTGTCTACACACACAACAGATGCTTCAGCAGTTTTGTCTCCTCTCTGTTTGTCTCTTCTCGATAGCACAACAGCAGTACTGCTGTAGCAGCACCTACCTGCTGACTGTTGAACGTCCAGGACCCTTCCGTGTCCTTGTAGGCCGGGTACGGCCGGTTGTCCATGCGCCGCAGGGAGTCTATCAGCTGCTGCGCCGAGCCGCTCCTGCGTCACGCGCGAATTTTCGCGCAAGAATCGCAAGCGGGAAGTGGGGTTCCTATAACCCAGGGAGCCTGCGACGATGTTGATTGCTACAATCCAACTTTACGCCAAAGAGGAAATCAGTTCCTTCCGCAGTACGCAGCTCGGCCGCTGAACTAAATAGGAGTGTTCAGCGCAGCACGTTTAGGCGGGAAGATTACAAAAAAATGCGTCGGTACAGCAGCAGTAGCACAGCGGTTGTTGTTGTTGGAGCCCCAAAACCTGCAATCTGGTGCCTTGTTCGTCCATGCTACTTAGACCCTTTTGGCACACAGCCTCTATTTAGTACAGCGGCGGCGGCAAGCGGACAAACCTACCTGTTGGTGCTCCGCGAGGTCATGAAGTCAGCGCTACCGCCGCCACCGCCGGAGAAGGCATCGCCCCCTCCTCCCCTGCCGCCCCCTCCACCCCTGCCGCCCCCACCGTACCTGGTCCACCAAAACGTGCGATGTTATCGACAACCCGCGGTAGGGGGGGTTAGCTTGATGGCGCACCAACCGAGGAATGTGCCGGCGTGCGCTTGTGGGCGTATTTGACGTATTTAGTCCATCATCCCTTACGAGAAGATTGTTAGAGCGACGACAATATGACGTCTTCCATCGTCCCTTGCGAGGGAGGTCTTTGAGTAAGCCCTAGCGAGTCGGCCAGGATGTTTCGTAGCCCCAGTCATACAAGGAAGACATCGGGGCCGTGGCGGCTTTGCACTGGTTCCACGCGGTCGGCAGGAGCATGTGGAGGTGTTAAATCCCACCTCGAAGTGCACGCACGACGTGTGCAACAACGGTGTGTTCTCCGCATTCTCCAACGCCTCGCCCCCCATGGGGTGTGGGGGCGGGAGGAATGTACCACGCCAGAAGGCTCCTCTACGTATGTGCTATTGCCGTTGTGTCTACCGGCGCTGTGCCCATCGTACGGGTGCCGGCGCGGGTGATCTTCTCACGACGCCTAAGATTCGTCCACAACTGCTGCCCTCTCTCCTTGGTGCTCTGGCCGCAAGGATGGTCGCTAACTGCCACCGGGCAGGATTTCTGATAGCAGTTGGAGAGTCGCCAAACATAGAGTTCTGACGATTGGAGAATGTCGCTAAAATAGCTCTTGCTGCCGGTTGGCGGAGCCTGCAGAAACATGTCGATGGACAGCGAATTTCGAGCAGCCCAACGGGGAGGCAGCAACCAAAACTCACTTGTTTTTATAGTACTCTCCGCGCCCCCCACCTCCACCTCCACCTCCACGCCCTCGCCCGCCGCCCCCTCCTCTCCCTCCACCGCCGTACTTGTTCTTGTAAAACTCTCCTCTCCCACCGCCGCCGCCGCCGTAGCTCATGATTGCTGTGGTGCCAATCCTAACGCGAAGATACCGTATCATGGGCGGGAGGTGGTTATGCATAGGATCGACCGTGGTGTTGAACGCATGCGTAAAAACGTACCCTGTCGCATTTTTCGTGGTGGAGGTCAGCGCATGCGTGGTGCAGCACAAAACATGCAGCACAAACATGCACGGCAAAAAAAAAGAGTGGGGTACATACCCAAGGCGCCTACAGCAGAATGTACAGCAGTACCTCAGTGTACCCATCGGCGCACACACCATTAAAAACCTCGGTGGCTGCACCGCACTTTAATAAATCTCATCGATCGCTTTGAAAGCGTGCATGTGACATACAACAAGCGTGTGTTCTGTATGCAAGCGGCTCAACCAGTCTGTACCCACTCCCCAAAATACTGGCTGTACCCACGCCATACCCAGCATTGATCGGTACCCAACGTACACCGCACACTCACACTCACTGCTGTGAGAAGATCTCACCGCAACGGTGCCTGTCCTCTGACTGCTCCTTCTCTTGCTATTCTTCGGGGCACGGGCTTCAAGAGAACACGCAAACCGAAGGATCCACGCGCACACAAGGCCAGCGGTAGGAGAAGCTTGCTGGTCGCACAAAGGAAGAACATGCGGTGGAAGCCAGCGCCCAGCGGTGCTTCGCTGCTCGCGAGGTAGAGGGGGTTCGCGACAGTATATAGGGGTACCAGACTTTCTCATCTGCGAGCTCCCTGTGTGACGGTTGCAAAATAAACAACGGCCTGCTGCGCCTGCTCTGCTCATCCTTGTACGTATCATCCGGCGAGCACGCGCGAAGCAAGTGGCCACGGGAGGGTGATCCTCGGGGATACGAACAAACTAGGTTTATGGGCGTTTGGGTCCTCAGGAGAGAGTAGCGGACGTCCTGTCGAACCGAGGTTCGTTGACTTGGTCCCGATTTCCTGTTTTAGCGAGAGGAGGAATACCCGTTAGCGCGAGGAAAAGCAGGATATACCGACAGCAGCGGGAAGAAGGAGTGCGTGCCCAAGAGAGCTCCCGTCAAGGGGAAGCCCGGGCTGCTTTGATAGGACCCCCTCTCTTGCGATGTTGGATGCAAGGCAGGGAAGAAGGCGGAGCCCTCGCCGCGCCTCTCACGAGGGCAGCGAGAACGAGTGCGAGGGCAGCAGCGTCGTAGTGCGCCTTTCCACAGGCTCCGCAGCCGGCGGCGGCGGCGGACCCGGCACTCCCGTCGCAAAGCTGCTGCAGCAGCAGTCCTCCGCCGTCGAGACGGCAGCAGCGCGCTCCCCCCTCACCCCCGCCGACAACGGCGGCGCTCCACCAGCAGCAGCACCCTCCGCCGCCGCCGCCGCCACGGCGGCGGTGGTGGCACCGGAACAGCAGCAGTCCTCCGCGGCCGTGACCCCTTCCAAGGTGAAGCCGCCCACCGCCCCCGGCGTGAGCCGCTTCGGATTCAAGCCCCCCCCGGCGGCGACGACGACAGCGGCCGGATCGCTGTCGCCGAGAGGAAGGCCAACCGCCGCCACCGCCGCCTCCGAGCGCAGCAGCGGCAGCAGCGGGAGCAGAAGCAGCCAGGGCGCTCCGCCGGCGGCAGCGACAGGGACAACCCGTGCGAGCGCTCGCTCGGCCGTGCTGTCCCCGTCTCGAACGGGAACCGCCGCCGCCGCTAACGGCGGCGGCGGCAGCGGCAGCAGTCGCGTAACAGGCGGCAGGAGCACGGCGACTTCCGGCGGCAGGGCGGCGACGACGGCGACCACCCGGTCGCGAGCAAGGGCGGGAGCGGCGGCGGCGGCGGCGGCGGCAGGAGCTAGCGGCGGGCGCGCCACCAGGCGAGGCTCAGGCGGGGCGAGTGGTAGCCGCGCCCGGGCTACGAGGTCCGGGACCGCGCCGGCGGGAACCGGCCGCTCGAACGGCGGCAGCAGGGCCGCCTCGGGAACGGCGGCTCCGTCGTCTAGGCGCCTGTCGGTGAGGGGTGTCTTCGTTGCTGCTTGTGGTATGTCAGCTCTGGGTGGTAGCGGCGAAGCTGTTTGCACAGCAAGGATTCGGGGTTGATTCCCAACGTATCTATGAATGTGTGTGATACTGCTGTTGTTCGTTCACAACTCTCCCCCGCTCCACACTGTACAACCGCCGTGGCCCTGGGGTCTGCTTGTGTTCTACCGCTGTGCATGATATCCTCTCACTAGAAGCAACGCTGCTGATGGCACCCCACAGCTTGATGAAGGGGGTATCTGTTGCTTGATCTGCTGTTGCTAGACATATTTTGGTGTGGATTTTCCATCGCTCTTCGCCATGTATGCGTCCATGTGTCGCGGTGCATGTAGCGCATGTATTGTCTATACACGCACGGAGCGCGCGGGGGGGTACCAGTGGGGGTACACAGCAGTTTAACGCCGCTTGTTATGGTAGCAGCGGTGTATTCAAGCTCCTACATGGCATCCTATTGCTAATTGGCGTGTTGCGATGGCGAAGTCGGTTGCGCCCAACCCCCCGAGTGCCCTGCTGCACATCTGTCCAGACAGATACACATACCCTGTGTTCCAGGATACCCATGGTTCATGTGTATGTATTTGAACACGGTCGGTATTTATTTCTGCTTGCTAGGGTGGAGCCTCAAAGTCGGGCAAGGGTGCGCCATACTCTACAGGCCTCGACGGTTCCAGCCAGCTTTTTGTGTCCGTACTCGGGTAATTTTATTTTTCGTTTCCGTATGTTCGGGTGATCTATTTTTTCATGTTCTCTTCGGATCGGATATGAGGGATACTGCCCCGTGCGAATACGTCTACAAATACCTACCCTTTGGCAGTTTTCGCTGGTGTGGGGGAGAGATTGGGTTGGTTTTATGCCCGTACAGACAGGTAATCCGTAGTATCCGTTGCTGCCAAGCGTATTCAAGACACACACGGCTGTACATCTTTCCTGAACGCAACAGCCTCGTAACCCCTAGAATCAAGGACATGCCTTACAAACCCTGATCCCCGCGGCACTACTGCAGCTGTTCTGGGCCGCACACTTGGCCTTAAGAGATATATCCCACCACGACTGCGAGAAACACGACCACCTGCTAAATCAAAAACACACCCAAAAAAACACCCGCAAAAAACAACGTGTTGTTGCCCTTATCTGCAGCACAAGCTCTCGCAGCCGATCGCGGTGTCCGGCCGCATGACGCGGACCGCCACGAAGGTCAAGCCCCGCCTCGAGTTCTCGAGCAGGGCGGCGGCCGCCACCGGAGGCGGGGGCTCGGCGCTGAGCATGACGTCACCGAGCTCGGGGAGGACGAAGAGGAACGCGGGCGCGCCGGGGTCGGCGACCAGGAGGGTACACAAGAGCCCTCGGACATCCATCGATCGAGGTGAGATGAGCGTCAAGTCTTGTGAGGAGACCAGGGCGGTTGCCCTCGCCACACAAGGGAGGAAGGTAGACTACACCTGTAGGCGTGATTCGTCGTGCTATTCTGCGCGCTCTGGTCGCTGGTCGTAGCGAAAGCCTGTCGTCAGAGTAATTGGAAACAATTAGCTGCCGTCGGGGGTAGATATACGACCGCTGGCGGCAGTGGTGGAATATGTGTATCGCCCGTGGCTTCGGCTTGCGAGCGACGACACAACAGCAGCACTGCTGTGCAGTCCGCAATTATCGTGCAAGCATGGTTTTAACTAAAAAGCGGTTGTGACAAAGGTAGTTGCAACTGCTGTTCGTTTTTTGCTAGGAGATGGGCGATTTCGCACAGGGAGAGGCGTTTTTCTATCAGGGGTGGTTACCGCCGCGACTTGCTAAAAAACCTCACCTCCCTTGGCTGTCCGCGACGTGCTTGGCCGCGTGAAACTGCTGTGGTTGTCTTTGCCCCCCCCCCCCCCCCGCGCGCGGGGGGGAAAAATAAACGCCCTTGCGAATCCCGAAGCCCGGGGCCCAAGGAAAGGGAAGGAACCAGGGGGACCCCCCACGCAACCTTTACCTCCGCCAACAAAACGTGGAAGAAAAGGTTTATTTTTTTGTTTAAGGGCCCAACCAAGGGGGTTTAAAGGGGGAAAACCACCCCGCCGTAAACCCCAAACCTGGGGT